GAGAGGAGGAGAGAGGAAGGGAGAGGGAGGGGGAGGGAGAATCTGAAGTAGGCTCCACACTCAATCCAGAGCCCCATGTGGGGGGCTCCATCCCACAACTTTGGGATCATGACCTGAGCCAAAATCAAGAGTCAGGCACTCAACCAACTGAGCCACCCAGGCACCCCAGAACTTCAGTCTACCTAAAAATTATTTTTGTGCATAGTATAAAGATGCAACTTTATGTCTTTCTATATGGATATCCAATTGTGCAAATACTACTTAATTTTAATAGTCTCCTCTTTCTCCAGTAACGTAAAATACTACTTTCTTATACAGAAAATTGCCATTTACACATACTGATCTATTTCTGTGTTTCTTCTCATTTTATTCTTTTTTGTCTATTACTGTGCCAATATTATGCAGGTGTGATACGTATAATTTTATATTATGCTCCAATACCTACAGAGCAAGTCTCTCTTCATTATTCCTTTATAAAATTTTCTTGCTCATGCCTGTGAATTTCTCTTCCAGATTAACTTCATTTTTATTGTGAATACGTTTATTTTATTTAAAATTATTTTAAGAGTATTTCTTTTTGAAAAATTCTAGTATGGATTAGTTGCCAAAAAGGAAATATAATTTAAAATCATGATCCTTGGTAGTTGAAGGAAATACCATGGATGTTAATTACTCTGCATATACAACTGTGGTTGAAATGTGTGATCACAATTTACATACTTAATAATACAGAAAAGACTAAAGACCTTTTTTCTTATAAAAACAGAGAAACATGTATTTAAACTCAAAAAAAACCAAACAAAAAACCTAAGATATTCAACATTCTTTCTTATAACTAGGGGCACCTGGGTGGCTCAGTCGGTTGAGCATCTGACTCTTGATTTCAGCTCAGGTCATGATCCCAGAGTTCTGGGATCAAGCCCTGCGTCAGGCTCGGCACTGGTCATGGAACCTGCTTGGGATTTGGGATTCTTTCTTTCTTTCCCTCTGGGTCTCTCCCCTGCTCGAGCTCTCTAAAATAAAAATAAAACATTATTTAATAAAAAAGATGTCAACACTCTTTCTTAATTTAATTAACTGAGGTGCAGAATTCCAGAGATTAAACTCTTAATCTTCCTATAACATCATTATCATCTTTGGAGACCCCAGACAGCATCCTAACAATTGATTTTATAAAAGTTTGAAGGATTTGAAGTGTGCTGGTTATTGCTCCTGTGATGTAACGTATCAACAATAAACTCAATGTATACTAGTTTTAGGTGCACCTGGTTGACTCAGTCAGTAGAGCATGAGACTCTTGATCTCGGGCTTGTAAGTTCGAGCCCCACAATGGGTGTAGAGACAACTTAAAAAATCTTGAGGCACCTAGGTGGCTCAGTCGGTCAAGCGTCCAACTCTTGACTTTGTCTCAGGTCATAATGTCACAGATTTGTGAGATTGTACCCTGAGCAGGTAGCTTGCTTGGGAGTATCTCTCTTCCTCTCTGCCTCTCCCCCACTCACTTGTGCTCACTCACTGTCTCAAAAATAAATGAGTAAACTTAAAAAAATAAAAACTGAATTAAAAAAATCTTAAATACAATTAAATTTTTTAAAAAAATTTTATTTATATTTAAGAGGTAGAGACAGAACACGAGTGGGAGAAGGGCAGAGAGAGAAGGAAACACAGAATCTGAATAAGGCTCCAGGCTCTGAGCTGTTAGCACAGAACCTGATGTGGGGCTCAAATTCATGAGCTATGAGATCATGACATGAGCCAAAGTCAGACACTTAACCAACTGAGCCACCCAGGTGCCCCAAGTATACTAGTTCTAACATTCTTGCAGGTCAACTATTTAAAGTACAACATGTTAACTACACAACAAAAAAGTCATGTTATCTTTTTTTTTAAATTTTTTAACGTTTCTTCATTTTTGACAGACAGAGCATGAGCGGGGAAGGGGCAGAGAGAGGGAGACACAGAATCTGAAACGGGCTCCAGGCTCTGAGCTGTCAGCACAGAGCCTGACATGGGGCTCGAACTCACAAACTGCAAGATCCTGACCTGAGTCAAAGTCAGACACTAACCGACTGAGCCACCCAGGCGCCCCATCTCTCTCTTTTTTAAAAAGTTTATTTATTTTTGAGAGAGAGAATGAGTAAACGGGGGAGGAGTGGAGACAGAAGGAGAGACACGATCCCAAGCAGGCTCCACACTGTCAGCACAGAGCTCCATGCGAGGGCCAAATTCACAAACTGTGAGATCACGACCTGAGCCCAAACCAAGAGCTGGACGCTTAACCAACTGAGCCACCTAGGCACCCCCATGGTATATTTTTTACTATTCCAACACAACTTATTAAAGTGAATGCCATTTGCAATTTAATGATTTGGTCTTTTTTTTTTTTTTTAATGTTTATTTTTGAGAGAGAGAAAGTCAGAGTGCAAGCAGGGGAGGGGGAGAGAGAGAGAGAGAGAGAGAGAGAGAGAGAGAGAGGGAGAGACAGAATCCAAAAGCAGGCTCCAGGCTCTGAGGTGTCAGCACAGAGCCCGATGCGGGGCTCGAACTCACAAACCGTGAGATCATGATCTGAGCCAAAGTAGGATGCTTAACCAACTGAACTACCTACGTACCCCTGATGATTTAGTCTTAAAAAATTTTTTGAGTTAATGCGGTAAGGTGCTATATGTTGACTATTTTTATTAGTTCTTGATGTTTTTAGTAACTAAAGTATTTAAAAATAATAATTTGTAGTTATGCTCCTAGTAGAGAATGTAGATTTATTTTCAAAAAGACATAAAAAAACCACAAGTAATCCTACCATCCAGAACTAACCACACTCAGCATTTTTATGTCATTTTTTCTAGTATGTATGGGTGTAAGTATAACATGCATTCTGCTGTTATTGAAAATTATTTTGTTTTAGCACAGTGAACTGGAGTGAGAACAAAACTTCAAACCTATCTGATACTTAATAGTTGTGAGATATTATGCAAGTCATTTCCCCCCAAAAACTGTCTCTTCATCCATAAAATGGGGATTATGTACCAATTTTGTATAGTTGTGATGAGGTTTAATAAGATCAAGTATATAACAATACTTTGCTTAGTGCCTGATGCATATTAAGAGCTGAAGATGTAATTTTTTTTTCATTTTTTTAAAATGTTTTATTTTATTTTTAAGACAGAGAGACAGCGCATGAGTGGTTAGGGGCAGAAAGAGAGGGAGACACAGAATCTGAAGCAGGCTCCAGGCTCTGAGCTGTCAGCACAGAGCCTGATGTGGGGCTCGAACTCATGGAGTGTGAGATCATGACCTGAGCCAAAGTTGGACGCTTAACCAACTGAGCCACCCAGGTGCCCCTAAATATATAATTTCTATTGTTAGCATTATAACTTTGTACCTTATTACTGTTATTATTATTTTAATGTTTACTTTTGAGAGAAACAGAGTATGAGCAGGGGAGGGGCAGAGAGAGAGAGACACACACAGAATCCAAAAGAGGCTACAGGCTGTGAGCTGTCAGCACAAACCCTGATGTGGGGCTCGAATCCATGAACCGTGAGATCATGACCTGAGCCAAAGTCAGACACTTAACTGACTGAGCCACCCAGGTGCCCCCTGCACCTTATTATTTTTAACTTGACATTAAGTTAAAATGCATTAATTTGTATTTTCCCATATCACTAAATATTCTCAAAACACTAATTAATGACATGACACCTCATCATAATAACTGCTCCCTCTATTATTGGAGTCTGCCTATAATTTTTCACTATTAATAGTTTTTACTTATTCAGTTAAGTGCTTTTCATACATACATTTTTTTGTTTGTTCCTCATAGCAACCTCTCTCTTGAAGATTTCCCTCAGTTTCTATGATCCAAGTGGTGCAAAAGAATTTATTATGTTTCATTTAAGATCTAATTGATTTGTAGTAGTAGGCTCCCTAGAACCATGCTGCTGGGAGAAGTTCCATCAATTTATTTTAACATAATGTTGATGTCAAAGATAGAAAAAAATGATGCATTAAAAATGACAACATGGGAATGCAAGCTGGTGCAGCCACTCTGGAAAACAGCATGGAGGTTTCTCAAAAAACTAAAAATAGAACTACCCTAAGACCCAGCAATTGCACTAGTAGGCATTTATCCAAGAGATACAGGTGTACTGTTTCGAAGGGACACATGCACCCCCATGTTTGTAGCAGCACTATCCACAATAGCCAAAGTATGGAAAGAGCCCAAATGTCCATCGACGGATAAATGGATAAAGAAGATGTGAAATATATACACAATGGAGTATTACTTGGCAATCAAAAAGAATGAAATCTTGCCATTTGCAACTATGTGGATGGAACTTAGGGTATTATGCTAAGCGAAATTAGTCAGAGAAAGACAAATATCATATGACTTCACTCATATGAGGACTTTTAGAGACAAAACAGATGAACATAAGGGAAGGGAAACAAAAATAATATAAAAACAGGGAGGGGGACAAAACTGAAGAGACTCATAAATATGGAGAACAAACTGAGGGTTACTGGAGGGGTTGTGGGAGGGGGGAGGGGCTAAATGGGTAAGGGGCATTAAGGAATCTACTCCTGAAATCATTGTTGCACTATATGCTAACTACTTTGGATGTAAATTTAAAACAAAATAATAAATTAAAAAAATAAACATCACTTCCTTGACCAAAAAAAGAAAGAAAAGAAAAATTCCATAGACAAATAACTCAGAGTAATTTATGTCACAGATCAGGGGCTAAGCAAAGGTGAATTCCTCTTGCCTTACAGATGTACAAACCAGTTTAAGAAGCTTTTCTTATATGGAACCAATGATTTATTTGATTTTTTGTTCCCAAACTCATCAGAAAGTTAGTTTATTTTACAGAAAAAAAAGTCTACACCAATTTTTTTCTGGAGGTTTTTCTTTTTCCATTTATATTTATTTGCACACCAACAAAGCTCATTCTGCCAAATCAACAGTTTCAAATATTTTAGATTGTCCTTTTGGTCAATAACACTGGTTTTGGTTTAAAAGCCATAAAAACCACAGGGAAGAAATATAAATCTGTTTAAAATAGTTTGTATAGATACAAGCATGGTAATAAAGTTTGGGAATAGTTAATACATACTATTTTTATAATGGCAGTGATAGTAATGTTAACATTAAATAATACCTTAAAGTCTACTAATCATACCACTAAATTAACAGGTATTATATTATTAACATTTTACATTTTCTTCTTAATATAATAGCTCAAAAGAGCTGAATGTTCTGTACCCAAGGATTTCATAATATTTTAATCACTGGATTGTGCCAGAAATAGAGATTTTAAGACCACACAGAACTACAAATGTCAACTTCAAAGGTCAAAACATCAACTGATGATTAATTCATCAATAAGGTCAAAGGACAAATTTGAACTTTAGTTTTACACACTAGACCAATCGTTTGGCTGATGAAACTAATTTGACTGATTCGGTACCTTAAAGGAAAAAACAGGGGTGCCTGGGTGGCTCAGTCGGTTAAGTGTCCGACTTCGGCTCAGGTCATGATCTTGCAGTCCGTGAGTTCAAGCCCCGCGTCGGGCTCGGTGCTGACAACTCAGAGCCTGGAGCCTGTTTCAGATTCTGTGTCACCCTCTCTCTCTGACCCTCCCCCATTCATGCTCTGTCTCTCTCTGTCTCAAAAATAAATAAACGTTAAAAAAAAATTTTTTTTTTAAAAAGGAAAAAACAATTTACCATTTAAATAATAACTACCACGGTACTGGCTCCTATGAAACCCCATCTGTTTTTATTTGATAAGGTATACAAATAATATAAAACTATAATTACAGTTAAAACATCATTATGTGTCATTGAAAAACATTAAATCACAGAAATTCCTTGGTTCTGAAACTCTCACTTTTAACGAATTGAATAATTCAAGTTAACATTGCAATTGTATACACAATAAAAAAAATGTTGTTCGAGCCCCGCGTCGGGCTCTGGGCTGATGGCTCGGAGCCTGGAGCCTGTTTCCGATTCTGTGTCTCCCTCTCTCTCTGCCCCTCCCCCGTTCATGCTCTGTCTCTCTCTGTCCCAAATAAATAAATAAAAGTTGAAAAAAAAATAAAAAAAAAAAAATGTAACTGTGACTCCACAAATAAAAACAGAATTGTAATTTAAAAAAAAAAAATGACAACAGCCATTTCACCACAGCGTTAATATATCTAATACTACTGAACTGTACACTTAAAAATGGTTAAGACGGTATAGTTAATAACACCGTATTAAATATTTTAAAGGTATTAAGAGAGTAGATCTGAAATGTTCTCACCACAAAAAAGAAGTGGTAATGACACGACTTGGTGGTATTGTGTAATGCCACAGTGGTAAGCATTTTGCAATATGTTAAGTGTATCAAATCAGTGTGTTGTATACCTTAAACTTATGAATGTTATATGTCAAGTATATTCCATAATATCAGAAAATAAACGGTTAAGATGGTAAATTTTATGTTTCTTACCACAATAAAAATGTTAGATTAAAAAAAAAAACCGACAACAGGACAAATGTAGAGTTGGACTGTTGATGACTAAGTATCTAAATGCCAGGAAACAGTCTCTTGATAATCGACACAATTTAGAATTCTAAGCTAAGGAAAGAACTATTTACTTCAATATGAAAGAGAAAGTGAGGTTTAATAGTAGAAAAAGGTTAAAGATTCTTTTTTTTAAGTAGGCTCCATAGGCTCCACGCCCACTGTGGAGCCCAACAAAGGGCTTGAACTCATGACCTTGAGACCAAGACCAGAGCCAACATCAAGAGTCAAACGCTTAACTGAATGAACCACCCAGGCACCCCCGGATTTCTAAAACTATTTCCTGCTTTTCCTAAAATGACAGGCCTTACAAATGTAATAAAATATTTTAATTCTAAAAACTGAAATAATATGTGTCTCTAACTCTGCAAGTTTCACTTTCTATAAATAAAATGTAAGATTCAGATTAATCAGTTCTTAAAGAGATTTACCTTATTAGCTTCCATGGTCACTATTCGATTAAGAAATTTCATCATAATTGTTGGTGCCACAGGGTTAAAACTGTCAAAAGTTTTATAAAGAAAGATAAGGGTTAGATGATTACCTAAAAATATAACTTGTGAATGTGAGCATAACAAGAATTTCATTCTTACCTAATGTTTGATATAGCACACTCTTCCTGAATTTCTTTGGGAAACAGTAACCTTTGATTATTATCTCCACCGAGACTGTCAGAGATTATAAATATTAGAGGACACCGACCAGTATGCACATATTTCCTAAAATAAAGTATAGCAATGTTGAAATTTAAGCTATTTCCATTTAATTCAAAGTTTGAGAAAACTTCACTGAAACTCACCTGAGAATTTCATGTAAAGTATGAGAATCTCGATAAAACTGGTTAGGTAAATCCTATTGAAAAATGATAAATACTAGTTTAGTTTTATTCTTGTGTAAATTAATTTTCAGATTTATATTTACCAAATTAGGAAAAAATGTCACCTATTCAACGTACTGTAACTAGAACTTTTATAGAAATTAAGGAAAACATGAAAAACCTGATGTACTATCCAGTAAAATGCATCAATGGGAAACCCGAGTTTCAGTTCAAATTCCTTAAGGTCACTACTAGTTACAGTATTTTCACTAAGACACCACTTTCTAAAATCCTTCCTTTTTTTTTAAGTTTATTTATTTTGCAAGAAAGAAAGTGAGAAGGGGAGGGGTAGGGAGAGGGAGGGAGGGAGGGGGGAGAGGGAGAGGAGAGGAGAGGGAGGAGAGAGAGAGAGAGAGAGAGAGAGAGAGAGAGAGAATGAATCCCAAGCAGGCTTTTCACTGTCGGCGCAGACCGGATACCGAGCTCGAACTTACGAACTGCTAGATCATGACCTGAGCCGAAATCAAAGAGTCAGATGCTCAAATGACTGAGCCACCCAGGCACCCTTCAAATTATTTCTTTTGCTTTTTCCACACTTACATCATTAAAATTCTAAAGTTCATCAACTGATAGCTACTCTATTCAAGTTTACTGGAAAAGACCTGAGGTTTCTGCTATCACAGAGCCTTTACATTATATTTTACCACGATTAATACTATGCAGAGAGTTAACGCCACTATCAGTAAGATATATCTTGTAATTATTTACTCAATAGTTAGTAGGATCTCAAAATTTGTCCGTACTTCAACCAGAATTATCCTCTTATCAGTTCTCAGATCATCTCCAAGCATCTGTAGTTTGTTATATTTTGTTGCTCTTAGCAGAAACTCTTTAAAAACTGTTATCTGAGATTGATAGGGAAATGCTTGGAAGCTTGATTCTGAAAGAAAACACATTCAACATTTTTACTCTCAACAAATTATGCACACATCAGCATCACACGTATGTACTTAATATACATATATATGTTACTGAATACATTCACATATACCTGAAGGAGCTCACAAAATTGTAGATTTTTTTCTAATTAGGCAAAACTGTTCAAATTCAAAGTAAGATATACATTTCAAAAGACAAGACTCATCATGGACCACAGTGAATTTTCTATACCAATGAATGTAATATGGAATTAAATAACTTCAGAATACAGCTGTCAGTATAATAGTCACCCAACTGGTAAAAACATTTATGTCTTTGCTGTAAAATGAAGACACTCCAAATGAGTGTGCTATGAATCAACTGATCAGACTTAATCCTCAAACAATCCCATTCTCCTCTACTGGAGGCAACTTTCCCCTCTTCTCTTGAAATTACTACTCTCTAAAACTGGGAAGTATCAAAGAAAATGCTCTCATATGGTTTCATTTGATTGCTATTCTTATTTTATGAAGTTATTAATAGTGGTCACATGTCAATCTAGCATACGAGTGACAACACATAATTTCTTCTAAAAACATATACCCAAAAATCTTGGGAATCTCAAGAATATAGATGGGGAGTTTCTTTCTTTTTTTTTTTAAATTTTTTTTAATGTTTATTTATTTATTTTGAGAGAAAGAGACAGAGCATGAGCAGGGGAGAAGCAGAGAGAGAGAGAGACACAGAATCCGAAACAGGCTCCAGGCTCTGAGCTGTCAGCACAGAGCCCGACGCGGGGCTCGAACTTACAAACTGTCAGATCATGACCTGTGCCGAAGTCGGACACTTAACCGACTGAGCCACCCAGGCACCCCAGATGGCGAGTTTCAAACCTCCTTTAAACATAGACTTTTCCCACTATTTCCACTACCTTCACAGCAAATCTTACCAGAATTAAAGATCTCCTTGAAATCATCTTTTTGGAAGTCTGGTAAAATTGGATTGATCCACTCTTGTACTTGAATACCATGCTCCTTTGATAGTATTTTTAGAGTTGTTGTTTTCCCACATCCAGGAGGACCTGTTATTAATAAAACAGATCCACCCTAAAACCAAATACAAACATTAATAAAAAATCAAAATCACCTGGAATGCTAGAGTTATTTTGTTTGTATTTTCTTTCTAAATATTAATTACTTCTATAAATATTTACTAAATTCCTGGTATAAAGTGACTAAATTTTACAATGATGCTATCTGGATTATACCAACTGTATAAAATAAATCATAAGTATTTTATGACTATAAAATAAGATAGTCTTTTTCCTAAAATTTAAGTATAGCTTCTGATAATTCTTCCATTCTTGCATTATGTCCCTACTAAGGTCTACCTAGCAGCTAAATTAAAACAACTAAATGTCAATTAGATGGAGCAGGTAATGGCTGAAACAAATATTTTTAGAGGTTACCTGAATTCAAAAACCCAATCTTAATACAAACCTCTCTTTCAATTATACACTTTAGTATTAAATAAGTATAATATTCTTATGGGAAGATCTTCGTTTGGATATCAAATTTTTTAAGAAATGTGTATTAAGAAACATCTTTTCCAGAATTAGAACTCTAAAGACAGACTAGAGGTTGTAGGTCACAGTAATATCTCCTCATATTATCAATCTGATAAAAAAGTTAAATCTAAAAAAATATCAGGGGAAGATTTCCTAATCCCCTGGTGGACTGTAATCCTTACTCAACTGTTTACCTTTACTAACTAGTATAAAAAGGGCTCTTGTACTTGGCCCTAGAAGAGAACCAGTCCCATTTTTTATTTTATTTTTTAATTTTTTAATTTTTTTTAACATTTATTTATTTTTGAGACAGAGAGAGACAGAGCATGAACGGGGGAGGGGCAGAGAGAGAGGGAGACACAGAATC